CCTCTAACCCGCTGCACCTTTGAAGTGTTTTTTTTTTTTTTTAATGGCTCCATGTTTTATGTTTAATTCTTTAAGCCATCTGGAATTAATTTCAGTCTAAGTTAAAGTGAAGGATCCAGCTTTGTCCTCCTCCTTCCCCAAAGCTAACCATCTGATCTGTCTTTATGAACTAATCCTTTCCAAACATTTAATGCATGACTTTCTCCCACCCTGCAGTCTTGGCGGGTGGGGAAGCAGGAAATGGGAAGGAAGAAGGGAGATAAAGAGATGGAGATTCTCTGAGCCTCCACCCCCGAAAGCTGTCCAGTAAGTCCTGGGGTGAAGATGGGGGGCTTTTGTCCCCAGCAGCCCGTGATTCTCTGCAAGGCGCTGAAAGTACCCCTGCACAGAGCAGCATTTCTCAGCCAGGAGCAACAGGAGTGACAGGCCATCTCCAATTCTGGCCCCCAGTCAGAGGTCTCTGATGCAACTTTGTCTGTGCTGAATTATCAGCCTGAGCCGGGGGAGTGCTGTCTCCACCTTGAGCATTCATGTGGGCACCAGTGTGCTTTGTTGAGGATGGAAGTGACTGTCCAGTGAAGACCCTCCCCGCGAGGCTCCTCTCCCAAGTGTGATATTTATGTGTGTCCCATGACCCTGGGGCTTTCAGAGATTCGTCTGTCTGGTCATCTGTCTCCTGGAGACTACATCCTTGGCCACAATGTTGACTAGTCACGAGCTCCTCTTGCTGCAGTATTTGTCTAAAAATTTAGCATGTGGACAATGTGGAATATTTGCTACATACAACAAGGAGATCCAACCAGTCCATCCTAAAGGAAATCAGTCCTGAATATTCATTGGAAGGACTGATGTTGAAGCTGAAACTCTTAATACTTTGGCCACCTGATGCAAAGAGCTGACTCATTGGAAAAGACCTTGATGCTGGGAAAGATTGAAAGCGGGAGGAGAAGGGGACAACAGAGGATGAGATGGTTGGATGGCGTCACTGACTCGATGGACATGAGTTTGAGTAAACTCCGGGAGTTGGTGATGGACAGGGAGGCCTGGTGTGCTGCAGTCCATGGGGTCACAAAAGGTTGGATACGACTGAGCGACTGAACTAAACTGAACTGAACTGCCCTCTAGAGACTGGCTTTGCAGGTGGCGCTAGTGGTAAAAGAAGCTGTCTCCTGATGCAGGAGATGTTAAAGACTCAGGTTTGATACCTGGGTCAGGAAGATCACTTGGAGAAGGAAATGGCAACCCACTCCAGAATTCTTACCTGGGAAATCCCATGGACAGAAGAGCTAGACGGGCTACAGTCCATGGGGTTGCAAAAGAGTCTGACACGACTGAAGCAACTTAGCATGCGTTGCCCTCTAGGAACTCATAGTCTGAATAACATGTGGCCAAGAGACATTTCACTGCTACCTGGGCCTTAAGGATGACAGGCAGGGAGCTCCGTGCTTGGGACTGTGATTCTAAACCCACAGCTAAACCTATAGACACTTATGCAACCAGTGTTTCTGAAGTGCCTCCAAGGTACCTGGACACTAGTCATTGCAGGAAGGCTGTGCAGATGCATTTTAAATAAATATATTCATATATGTACAAACATTATTATAATTACAAATACACTTGCTTTTATTTTGAGTATATGTAAACATGTTACAGTTGACCCTTGAATAACACAGGGTCAGAGTCGCAGCCAAAATTTCGCATATAAATTTTAACTCCCCTCACAACTTAACTACTATTGTTGACTTCTGTTGAATGGAAGCCTTACAAAGAACATAGTCAATTCACACTTATTTTGTATGTTATACTAATATGTATTAGATAATGTATTTTTACATTAAGGTAAGCTAGAGAAAAGAAAATATTGTTAAGAAAACTAAGAAAATAGATAGCCAATAAGAACCTACCAAGAGTCCTAACCTCCTTGGTATAGCTCCAGGATCTCTTCTTGATGCTCTGTAGTAGCCTATATGGGAAAAAATTAAAAATAGGTATACGTATAACTGATTCACTTTGCTGTACTCCTGAAACTAACACAGTGCTGTAAATCAACTATAATAAAAAATCTTTTAAAAAATAAAGAAAAAAGAAAATCATAAGGAATAAAAAATACGTTTACAGTCATGTACTCTATTTATTCACATCATGCATTTATATCATCTGTTTATAAGATAAATTGTCAGTATCTACATCAGTATTATCTTATATGGTATAAATTAATGTAGGTAGTATAGGATCCCATTTGAGTTACTTCTCTTTCCTTTCAGTTCTATCCTTTTTTTTAAAAAAATTATTTATTTGTCTGTGTTGGGTGTTAGTTGCATCATGCGGGATCGCTGCTGGGGCCCGTGGGCTTCTCCAGTTGTGGCGTGCAGGCTCTAGGGCATGTGGGCTCAGCAGTTGTGGCACGTGGACTTCATTGCCCTGTAGCATATTGGATCCTAGTTTCGAGACCAGGGATCGAACCTGTGTCCCCTGCATAGGAAGGTGGATTCTTAACCACTGGGCCACCAGGGAAGTTCTCTTGCTTCCTGCTTGCATCCACCAGCATATCCGCTTGCCCCCACGTCCAGATGACTCCTATTCTCTCTACACCTACATAGCAAAATGATGACCTTTGTATAGGATGCTTTTGACTCTCAACCCCAAAGGTGCAAGCATAGTATGTCTATAATCGGGTATGGTGGCTTTTATCATAAAGCTCGATCAAATGTGTGCAGAAGACATGCCGGGGAGAGAGGCCACACATGCAGAAATTTGCATTTTAGGATCATGATAAGTCTCGAAGGATTTTGCTTTTCTTTCTCCCCTACTTTCCTCCCTCCCTCAGTATAATTATTATCAACATTCTGAAAGGATGAATCTTTTTTTCACCAAAGAAAAACTCTTGTACTTTGCAGACAGTCTCCCCACAAGGAGGAAAGTTTGGGTGCTTCTGCTGTGCAGATGCCTGCATTTCCATGGTCACGTGGAAGGTTGTTTGCAGTTGCAGTTTCTGTCCTTAAAGTGTGGCAGGGGAAAACATGTAAGCACATTTTAAAAAGCATGTCCTTTTCAGTGGATCCAGATCCCTTCGTTCAGAGAGTGTCAGTCTGCCCATCTCTCTGCTCTTCTTCCTCCCCTGATACAGCCACGTGAGCACAACTCTGAGAATCCACCTAAAAGGAGCCATAATAAAACAGGAACACTGCGTCATCAGCTGCCATTCCAGTCCCTGGGCTCCCCACACTCTGCTGGATGCTGTATGTGGATCATCCCATTTAACCTTCACAGCAGCTCACAGAGGCAGGAACTCCTTTGGCCATACCCATTTTACAGATTGGGAAACTGAGGATCAGAGGAATTAAGAAAACTAGTTCAAAATCACATAGCTAGTCAGAGGCAGAGCTAGGGTTTGAACCTGGCTTCCTGGCTCCAGAGTCCCCAGTCCTGATTTCTGGCACCTCTAACACTAAGGCTTAGTTTATGGGGTTGTTGTCAAGAGTCCCCAAGCAGGCCTGGCTACTACGAAGGCCCTGAATTGTAGCAGTGGTGGGGATTAGTGCTGGGATTAGTGACTTACTCTCTGGATGTCTCCAGGCCGTGTCCTGATGGGGGCCTGTGTCTCCCCATCACAGCTAAGGTCACTTGATGTCCACCTATTTTTCTGAGAGGCTCAGACAGTAAAGAATCTGCCTGCAATGCCGGAGACCTGGGTTTGATCCCCAGGTCAGGAAGGCCCCCCTGGAGAAGGGAATGGCAGCCCACTTCAGTATTCTTGCCTGGATGATTCCATGCACAGAAGAGCCTGGCGGGCTACCGTCCATGGGATCGCGAAGAGTCGGACACGACTGAGCGACTTCACTTTCATTTGCACTTTATTTTTGTGAGCAAGGCTGAGCTGAGGGCCAGCCCCACCAGAGGAGCAAAGGCTTCATTTCTTCCCTTTTGAGTTTCCACTTCTGACCGGGCCCCTCCCCTCTCTCTGCCTGTGTCTGTCCAGGTCTGGCACCACCTCAGGCCCTGTTCTCCCACCACATCACTCTTGGTGGTGCAGGGGCTGCTCTGACCTGGGGCCACACTCGTGCTGGCCTGGGCATCGAGGCACTTCCCCCTCTCGACTGCCCCTTCTGCTGCCAGCACTTCTGGGCATCAACTCAGTGACTGGTCCTGAGTCTGGCCAATTTGTCTGGAAGCATCACATCCAGGTCCCTGTAAACAGAGCTGAGGAAATCGCCTTCTAGGATAATTTGGAATCTAAATGCCCCCTTGAAATAAAAGTTATGACCAACCTAGCCATTAAAAACTGGAGACATTACTTTGCCAGCAAAGGTCTGTCTAGTCAAGGCTATGGTTTTTCCAGTAGTCATGTATGGATGTGAGAGTTGGACTATAAAGAAACCTGAGCACTGAAGAATTGATGCTTTTGAACTGTGGTGTTGGAGAAGACTCTTGAGAGTCCCTTGGACTGCAAGGAGATACAATCAGTAATCCATCCTAAAGGAAATCAGTCCTGAATTTATTGGCAGGACTGATGCTGAAGCTGAAACTCCAATACTTTGGCCACCTGATGCGAGGAGCTGACTCATTTGAAAAGACCCTGAAGCTGGGAAAGATTGAGTGCTGAAGGAGAAGGGGACGACAGAGGATGAGATGGTTGGATGGCATCACCGACTCAATGGACATGAGTTTGAGTAAACTCTGGGAGTTGGTGATGGACAGGGAGGCCTGGCATGCTTCAGTCCATGTGGTCGCAGAGTTGGACATGACTGAGTGACTGAACTGAACTGAAATGCCCCCTGGGTGCTCTATAACTTTGGCCCCACAGTGGGGACCACAGTGAAAAGCCAGAGAGAGAGAGAAGCAAGGCCTGAGAGAGGAGCAGAGGGTGGGAGAAGGCGCCTGGGGAAGGGGCCCTTGCACACACGAGAGGTGGGTGCCCCCCATGGATGGTCCTCGTGTGGTCCAGGTCTTCCTTGGGATGCTCTGCCAGCCATCTTGGTCCCCCCACCCCCCGTTGCCAGGAAACATGTGGATAGCATCCTGCCTCACTGAGGCGTCCAGAAGCAGCCTCTGCGCTGTGAGTCGCCTCTCACATCCCTCCAGTGGAGAGTACCCAGCTGCGCCAGGACCACCAGCCGACACCGCCATCAGGGTGCAGAGGCTGCCCAGGTATTCCTGGGCAACACGAGCGTGGATTTGCAACACAGGGCCTGCTCTGTGAATAGGCACGTTCAGTTGCGTCCCGTGTCCAGGGCCATGTGGTTAACTGTATCTGCAAACAGAATCTCCAGGGGAGCTGGTTAAAAAGGCCAATTCCAGGGCTGACACCACATACTTGGAAGCTTGATCAAATCTAACACTTTCTTGGTGCCAAGAATGACCCTCTGCGCTTTACACGTGTTAATTCACTCTGACCTGGCAACCCTAAGAAGCAGACGCTGTGATTATTGTTCCACTTTTGCACACAAGCAAACTGGCACAGAGAAGGTGGGTAACTTCCTCTGGCCACACAGCTCATAAGCGGCTGGTCTCTGACTCCAGACTGCACAGTTCTGGAACCCTCTGTCCAGCCAGTTTGAGAACCTGCTGTCTCAGGTAGAGAAGTCATTCTACTCTCAGAAATGGCTTTTCAATTTACTGGGCTAATAAGAGTTCAAGTCGTGAGCTTAAAGAAAACCTCATTCATCTATAAAATTCATATTAACCCCACAAACATCCTTCTTTCACCAAAAAGAGTTGAAAAGTTACATCTACACAAAAACTTTCATGAAGATGTTTACAGCAGCTTTATTTATAATTGCCAAAAGGTAGAAGCAACCAAATGCCCTTCAGTAGGTGAGTGCATAAACTGTATTACTTGTAGACAGTGGAATATTATTCAGCACTAAAGAGAAATGAGCCATCAAGTCATGAAAAGACATGAAGGAAACTTAAGTGCATATTACTAAGTGGAAGAAACCAATCTGGAAATTCTGCACACTGTAAAATCCCAACCGTATGACTTTCTGAAAGAAGCAAAACTATGGAGATGGTAAAGAGATCAGTGCTTATGGGTGGGTAGAAGGGAAGCAGGAGTGAATGGGCAGAACACAGGATTCTTAGAGAAGTGAAAGTGCTCTGTATGATGCTATAATGATGGCTTCCTGCCCTACATTGGTCCAGACACAAAGAATAGACCCTAATGTAAACTATGGACTCTGAGTGATAATCATTTGTCAATGTAAGTTCATTGATGGTAACAAAGGTACCACAATATTGGGGTGTGTGGATAATGAAGGAAGCTGTGTATTTAGGGCAGTGAGGAGTAAATAGAAAATCTCTGTACCTCCTATTCAATTTTGCAATGAACATAAAGTTGCTCTAAGACATAAAGTTTATTAAAAAAAAAAAAAAATCACAGTTTTCAGTTGATCAGCCACCTCATTGTCCTCTAAGTGGGATGGAGTTATCTTTCCAAACTCTGTAAGAAGCTTCTGGACCCATGTGGGAGTCATTTACCATTTTGAGGCTCTGATAAAAGTATGGATTCTCTCCTCATAAAAAGGCACTTACACACAAACATGCATCACCTTTTATACCTAACAAGCAGGGATCCTCAGGAAATCTACAAACCCCGGGTTGAGAACCCCAATCTCAACATGTTAATCCTCCCTTAGCTGTGCCCGCCTACTCCCACCTTTGTGTCTCTTTCAAAATTCTTGGTCAGGAAGAAATAATACCTAGGAAAATTATTTGGTTGGAGGCAAAGTAATTAAGGCACAATTTTACTTTTCCTTGGTGCTTATAAACATTCATCTTAATTAAAGTGCTTTAATGAGACTAGAGCTCAGGGCTGCCAGGAGACAGGATGAGACCGGGATTATGCAAGGTCATTGCTCTCTGAACCTAGGATGCTTAGCCCTGAAGTGACCCTTTGCCTTGGGTAAGTTTAAAAAGATTCTTCCTGGCAGCAGATGTGGGTATTTGCTTCCTCTTTGAAGTCAGCTTTCACCATAAACTGTAGAGTTATATTACTGTGTGTTATTCAGCAAATGTTAAATTAAGAAATACCTGGTGATAGTCAGTTTTATACGTCAACTTTGCCAGCCTCTGGTGCCCAGTTATTTGTTTTTTTTCATGTCATCATTTTTAAAAGTTTTTTTTTAATTTGGAAGATAATTTGTTTACGATACTGTGTTAGTTTCTACCATATATCAACATGAAACAGCCATAGGTTTACCTATGTTCCCTCCCTCATGAAACTCCTTCCACCCTCCCAGTCTATCCCACCCCTGTAGTTGTCACAGAGCACCAGGTCGGAGCCCCCTATGTCATATAGCGAGTTCCCACTGGGTGTCCGGTTACTGAATCAAATATTAATCTAGGTGTTTCTGGGAAGGTATTTGTAGAAGTGGTTAACATCTACATAAGTCAACTTAAAGTAAAGGAGATTACCCTTGATAAGATGGATGAGCCCCATCCAGTGAATTGAAAGTCCTTAGGAGCAAAAAACTGAGGCTTCCTGGAGAAGAAGAAATTCTGCCTCGAGACTATAGGATCAACTCCTGCCAGAATATCCAGCCTCCCAGCCAGACATCAGCTTTGGAACTGACAGCCCTCAGAACTGCATGAGGCTATTGCTTTTTAAAAATAAATCCCTTAGATGGATAGATTGGTGGATGGATAGATCCACTGATAGACAGATAGATCCAAAGATAGACTTGGATTTGTAGATCTACCTACCTATCAATCGATTGATCTATCCATCCATCTATTTACCTATCAATCCACCCATCCATCTGCATGTATCTCCTGTTTACTTTATTTCTTTTGGAGAACCCTGAATAATACACAGCCTAAAGAAACCAGCGATCCGCATGGGTGACAATTGCTCCCTAAAAAATGAAAGACCGGTATGCTATCAAATGCCACCTGCACATGCGCACCCCATGCTCAGAGCTCCTGGCCCCTGGGAGGAGAGACGTGAGCTCAGAAGGGGAGCCGGGAGGCAGGCAGTCACCTGGGTGCTCCTCCAGCTTTCTCCTGAGGTGATCTCCCTGAGTGCGGCAGGTGAGGGGTCGGGAGGGTTTGTTTAAAATGCAGGCTCTCAGCATCCCACCTCCCAAAGTTCTAAATCTATGGGTCTGGGCTCAGACTCCTGCCTTTGAGCAATCCCTCAGATTGATTCTACAGCAGGTGACCCTTTGAGAAACAGAGCTTACAGGATGGCCTCCAAGCCCCAGACCAGACTGGAGTCTGGACTTCCTCATCAGCCCCTCCAGTTCCAAAGCTGGGAGCAGGGGATGTAGCTTTCAACCCTCTGGGTCTCTGGACAGGTTTAGCGGCCTGACTGTTCTTGTTGACATCCAAGTACTTAAAATCGGGGAAAGCAGAGGCCAGGCTCTGTGGCTTCCATGGCAGAGCCTAAGACCAGACTGCCTTGGGTTCAAATCCCAACTTGGCCTCTTACTGAGTCTTCTTCTTCCGCTCCTCCTCTTCCTTCTTCTTCTTTACAACTATTTTTATAGCCACGTGTCACCTGATTTCTCTTCCCCCACACTTGGGGTACAACAGAGTGCACTTGCTTAACTTGCCAATTCAGTGGCCCTTTTGGTCTTCCCCTACGATCCAAAGTTTAAACAGTAAAATATAAACGTTTTGGTCCTAAGATCCTGGGGGGTTCACAGTTTGTTACTGACCTGTAGCCTTACTTTATGCTGCCACCCTCACTGAGCAAGACGGACAGGAACCCAGGACTCGCGCCAGGCACTGGCCCGACACCCCCCAGCCTGGGACTTTCCTTCCTGGGATCAGCGCCCCGGCTGCAAGCGGGGCAGCTTTGCCCCTCCTCAAGCAGAGGGGCTGGCCCATCGCTGCCCAACCTCGGCGCATGTGCTCAGGAGGCGATGCTGCCGGCCTGCGTTTGCGAGTGATGAATAGGGCTGACCTAACGCTGCCCTGGAGCTGAATTAAAGTCTCTCCTGGGAAGAGAGTGATGGGGGTGCGGGCTGGGTTTCTGGGGCAGAGGTGGGAGGAGACCGGGGATGGGAATGGTCATAGAACATGGAGGTGGGAGGCACCGTGTTTGTTCAGGCGACGGAGGTCTCCCGGGCCGGCCCGGACGGTACCGGGGCCCCCCTTCCCTCCCAGCACTTGCTCCCTCTTGACACTCCTTTCCTCTGGCCTCTCCTCAGATGGGCTGGGAAAACGTCTGGAAAAACAGTCCTGAGCTGCTCTGGCTAGTGGAAGAGGCCGCGCGGAGTCTGTTTAGCTTTTTAAGTTCTGATTTTATCTTGTTTATAAAATCCATCTGGAGAGAGGAGGGAAAGGGGAGTGGGCCCTGGGGAACAAGTAACTTCTGGCCGCTCAGAAGAAGTGGCATCTATCCTGGGCCTGGGGCTTGCTTTGCCTGTCACACAACTCACAGCCTCTCCTGGGGGGCGCCTGTCTGCTTATCTGAGAGCAACTCAGAGGCAGCCTTTTTAGCTTTAGCTACTCAGCTAAATGTCACTCCCTCCAAGAAGCCTTCTCCAGGCTCCTCAGGTTTTCAACTCCTCGTGGAGTTGTAGTTACAGGTTTACTACATGACTTCATCTCTAAAGTAGCATCCCAGGTCCTCTAAGGGCAGGCATTAAGACTTGTTCCTTTGTAAACCCTAAGGTCTAGAAGAATGCTTTTCACAGAGTAAGGAAGAGTGAATAAATGGAGGGATGAAGGGGTCAATGGTTGGATGGATGGACGGATAGGTGGGCTGATGGATGGATAGATGGACAGATGGATGGGTGGATGGAAAGATGAATGGATGTATGGGTGGGTGGAGAGGTGAACAGAGAGGTGAATGCAGGAATGGATGGAAAAAGTTTGTAGACTTGCCTCAAGAACTGCCAACACTTGCTGTCTCTCTCTGAGCTGTTTTTGAATATGGTACTGAAATGATTCCCTTGTCCTCAGCTGACATGAATCAGTGATCAGGACAATAAGCATAGGAGGAGGGATGGACTTTTAGCGAAAGGTTAGCTCACTCAACGTCACACCTAAAATATGGTTCTGGGAGATCCAGCCGGCGTCTGCTCCTCCTCAAGGGACTCTGCCTCTCACAGGTTGGGTATTTGTCTCAATTGAAAGCAGCTGTATCTGCCCCATTTCTCACACTCCCCCACAGAATATCTGCCATGGCAGACCTGACCAAA